TCCGCTTTAGATCAACAGTATACAACCCCACAGTGATACCATATCAATATATAGTCATTCTGATGGTGCTTTGCAAAATAAAGGCCTTTTTAAATGGTCCACAATTGACCTACCTTTAACGATTTCAAATGTCGTAAATTGGCAATTTAAAAAGGCCTTTATTTTTGAAAGCACCATCAGAATGACTTGAAATTGATGTGGTATCACTGCAGGGTTGTATACTGTTAATCTAAAGTGGAATGACCCAGTGGAAACAGCAATTTCCAATTTTTGAGCATTTTGCATTTTTTTATTTAGTTTTTAAATTTTTTGAATTGCCCATGTACGACCAAACTTTCAGTGATTTCAAAATGCTCTAAAATGGAACATTGCTGTTTACAATGGGTCATTTCACTTTAGATCAACAGTATACAACCCCACAGTGATACCATATCAATATCAAGTCATTCTGATGGTGCTTTCCAATTTAAAGGCCTTTTTAAATTGCCCATATACGACCAAACTTTCAGTGATTTCAACATGCTCTAAAATGGAAAATCGCTGTTTCCACTGGGTAATTTCACTTTAGATCAACAGTATACAACTCCACAGTGATACAATATCAATATCAAGTCATTCTGATGTTGCTTTCCAAAATAAAGGCCTTTTTTAATTGTCCGCAATTGACCTACCTTTAATGATTTCAAATTGCTTTAAAATGGAAAATTGCTGTTTCCACAGGGTAATTCCACTTTAGATCAACAGTATACAGCCCCACAGGGATACCATATCAATATCAAGTCATTCTGATGTTGATTTCCAAAATAAAGGCCTTTTTAAATTGTCCATATACGACCAAACTTTCAGTGATTTCAAAATGCTCTAAAATGGATATTTGCACTTTCCACAGGGTAATTCCACTTTAGATCAACAGTATACAACCCCACAGTGATACCTTGTCAATATGAAATCATTCTGATGGTGCTTTCCAAAATAAAGGCCTTTTTAAATTGCCGATATACGACCAAACTTTCAGTGATTTCAAAATTCTCTAAAATGGAAACTTGCTGTTTCCACTGGGTCATTTCACTTTAGATCAACAGTATACAACCCCACAGTGATACCATGTCAATATGAAATCATTCTGATGGTGCTTTCCAAAATAAAGGCCTTTTTAAATTGCCCATTTACGACCAAACTTCCAGTGATTTCAAAAAGCTCTAAAATGAAAAATTGCTGTTTCCACTGGGTCATTCCACTTTAGATCAACAGTATGCAACCCCGCAGTGATACCCTATCCATATCAAGTCATTCTGATGGTGCTTTCCAAAATAAAGGCCTTTTTAAATTGCCCATATATGACCAAACTTTCAGTGATTTCAAAATTCTCTAAAATGGAAAATTGCTGTTTCCACGGGTTCATTCCGCTTTAGATCAACAGTATACAACCCCACAGTGATACCATATCAATATATAGTCATTCTGATGGTGCTTTGCAAAATAAAGGCCTTTTTAAATGGTCCACAATTGACCTACCTTTAACGATTTCAAATGTCGTAAATTGGCAATTTAAAAAGGCCTTTATTTTTGAAAGCACCATCAGAATGACTTGAAATTGATGTGGTATCACTGCAGGGTTGTATACTGTTAATCTAAAGTGGAATGACCCAGTGGAAACAGCAATTTCCAATTTTTGAGCATTTTGAATTTTTTTATTTAGTTTTTAAATTTTTTGAATTGCCCATGTACGACCAAACTTTCAGTGATTTCAAAATGCTCTAAAATGGAACATTGCTGTTTACAATGGGTCATTTCACTTTAGATCAACAGTATACAACCCCACAGTGATACCATATCAATATCAAGTCATTCTGATGGTGCTTTCCAATTTAAAGGCCTTTTTAAATTGCCCATATACGACCAAACTTTCAGTGATTTCAACATGCTCTAAAATGGAAAATCGCTGTTTCCACTGGGTAATTTCACTTTAGATCAACAGTATACAACTCCACAGTGATACAATATCAATATCAAGTCATTCTGATGTTGCTTTCCAAAATAAAGGCCTTTTTTAATTGTCCGCAATTGACCTACCTTTAATGATTTCAAATTGCTTTAAAATGGAAAATTGCTGTTTCCACAGGGTAATTCCACTTTAGATCAACAGTATACAGCCCCACAGGGATACCATATCAATATCAAGTCATTCTGATGTTGATTTCCAAAATAAAGGCCTTTTTAAATTGTCCATATACGACCAAACTTTCAGTGATTTCAAAATGCTCTAAAATGGATATTTGCACTTTCCACAGGGTAATTCCACTTTAGATCAACAGTACACAACCCCACAGTGATACCCTATCAATTTCAAGTCATTCTGATGTTGCTTTCCAAAATAAAGGCCTTTTTAAATTGCCCATATACGACCAAACTTTCAGTGATTTCAAAATGCTTTTAAATGGCACCCAGAATTATGTTGCACGAAGCACAATTTCACATCATTCTGGGTCCATTTGTGTGAAAACAAGGTCCAGTCAGGCTGAAACGTTACAGGAAGGTAGAATCTATTGAGTTGTAAGTGATCTGAACGTTTCATGATGATAGCACATTCTTTAGGGGGTCAAATCATGTCCCAAAAGTCACCAGGCCTGGTGTCAAAGACACGTGTCAAGTTACACCTTTGGAGGCTTATAATCTTTTCTCTTAATGTCCTAGAGAGTCCAGGTTTTTTTTTAAATACTCTGCTTCATAGCCCCTATCACCAGCAAAAGGATTCATTAGCACTTATGGTCTTTAAATGGCACCCAGAATAATGTTGCACAAAGCACAATTTCACATCATTCTCGGTCCATTTGTGTGAAAACAAGGTCCAATCAGGCTGAAACGTTACAGGAAGGTAGAATCTATTGAGTTGTAAGTGATCTGAACGTTTCGTGATGATAGCACATTCCTAAGGGGGTCAAAACATGGTGTCACTTTAAAGAAGTAGTCCAGTTACACCTTTGTTGGCTTATAACTTTTCAGGAGTGTTTAGTGCACATGTGCGCTGACAGCGAGCTGCACTGAGCAGTGTCCAGCTCAGATGTTCAGATGGGAATCTTTTCTTGAGCGATTTAGCTACATCTGCGATGTGCGTAGAATAAAATGTCAGTTCATCTGCATTCGTCGGGGTATTTCTTTCTCTGTCAAAATAAACGGCCAAATACGGGAACTATCCGGTCAACAAAAGCCCTGCTTTTAACTGTTCTGTTTTCTTGTGAAAATAGATCAAATTAAACTTGATTAACACCAGAGCCAGGCGCACCGCGCCATTATCTCCGTCACTGTAAATGAGGGAAAAACAAATTGATCAGATCCTTTTCTGACCTTCCCCACCTACAAAGTTTAATTACAACAATCAAACGTGACAGAGCCTGGATTTGTTTTATAAACAGTATAAACATGTTTTAAAAAGAAACATATGACAAAAGTGGCACCTGCTCAGTAAAACCACCAACAGGGTGAAAAATATCAAAATATTGTAGGCAGAGACGGGCTACAACTTCTGGATCCACTTTATATAAATCGTTTTATTGATTATATTTTTATGAAAGATAACTTTGACGTACAAGAGCGACCGTACTGGCTGCTGTCACCTGTTGTAAGCAGCTCTCTGCTGTCTGAGGGTAGGCCCTGCCCACAACGCCGCGGCTGCTGTGGCTCCCAGTGTTTTCTTTACTGTGGGAAATGGGTAATAATGGCTCTTTGATGGGAACAGGTTGCCGACCCCTGGTTTAAGTGTTTCAATTTTTTTTTATGAATTCGATTAAAAATAAAGGCGCCCGGCCCGTGTCCGAGGTAATTACACAGTCATTGGCCCGAAGCCCGGCCCGAGGGCCGTCGGGCCGGGCTTCGGGCCGACCCTAGGGCCTAGGGCTTCAGTGCAGGGCTCTACTAGAGACACTATCACCACCTCTAACCTTAACCCTATACTATGCTGGACCCGGTAAACACATAAGAAAGACGATCCGTTAAATTGCAGATAAAACAAAACGGTCTCTAACTTGAAACATAGCCAGGACTACAAAACATTACGATCTCCCTTTCACTCTCCCATTCCCTCTCATATACTCGGGAGGAGGTGTTGGGGGAGCCAGGTTAAGCCTAATCCGGCTCAGTTGTGGTTAAACGTAATAACACGGTGCCACCTCTGCTACCTGGTCTCTACACTCCCTTTTTGCTCTCTCTCTTTCTCCTTGGATTTAATTTTTTTTCAATTCAAGTTTATTTATATAGCGCCAAATTACGACAAGAGTCGTCTCAAGGCACTTCACATAATAAACATTCCAATTCAGGACAGTTCATTAGGCCAATCAGAAATAATTTTTCCTATATAAGGAACCCAGCAAATTGGATCTGCTCTCCTCCTCTTTTACTCTCAATTGAAATAAAACCAACAAATGGAAAGGAGTTCTTGAGTGACATGCGGCAGCCCGTGCACTGCCAGTGACTCCCTAATTAAACTGTTTCAGTCATTGGATTGACTCAGTGGGATTTCATTGAGTTATATCTACTGAACCTAACCCTTCCTGGAAAAGAAACCTATTAATGAGTAACCCCAAATACCATTAGTTATCCCATATTCACCGCAAATGTTGGATTATAGATTTGTCAGATTTGTCAAAAATAATTTTCAGACTCTTGTTCACAGTACACAAATGCTCACAGATTATGAAGTGTCTGCGGCCTACAGGAGAAACAAAAATCTCTGAGACTACTTGATTCAAGCTAAGCTCAAATTTACTACTGTAGCCAAATTCAGAGGCCTCGGGGATTTTGTAAAACACAAACAGCCACAATGTTTCTTCTGACACCATCTACCTGTCATTATGTAAAGGGAATACTCGCACCTCAAACTGCGTCTATCGGATATCATGTACAACCTGTTGCAGAGTGTATGTTGGGGAAACTAAAAATACACTCCTGGTCAGATTCACTCAGCACAGATACAACATCCTGAGAAAGGAGAAGACCAGCACACATTTGGTTCAACACTTTATTACACATGGGTGGAAGTCTGTTCATGCCAGGGTGCTTGAGTCAAACCCTGACTGGACCACACAGTAACGGAGGAGAACTGAGAAGCTGTGGGTTGCTAAGTTGGACACTGTGCATCCCAGAGGCTTAAATGAGAGCCTCTATATACTATAACAACAACAAAACATGAAAATATCCGTAAATGACCAATGTGGATCACAACCCTTGAAACAGTGTGGTAGTCAAAGAGGACAAAGGAGCTGCTGATGGTGTGTGTGATCAAGATAATCAATCCACACCTAACCCTTTCTCAAACAATAACTACCTCTGGACAAAGTACATTGAATGATTCAATGTTTTAAAAAAAGATTAAATCAATGTTTCTTCCAAGGGAGGAATCTTATGGTGACAACCCACTCATAAACCACAAACTTCCAACAAAGAGAGTTATATGGATGGCAAACCAGGGATGAATCAGAAAACTCTACTACAAACAGAAACGGCAAGCAGTGGGAAACAAAATCATGAAATTCAACTCCACAATCTGCAAAACAGAGTAACATAGAGACAATTCTCACAGAAAGCTGCGCCTATACAAAAACAAAGTATTTGAACAGCTTAACGCCCTTGAGGAGTCTAATCAGTTACAAGTAGCACCTCGATTCATGTTTCAGTCTACTTTCTATAAACTTCTTTGATGTCTTTGAAGTATTCAGTCCAATCGGGCACAGCTGGGATAGCACAAAGGGATCTTCAGTGAAGGAGCTTGAGTAGGATCTCATTGCTGCACCCATGGTAACCAGTATACACTGTGGAGGCTGCCGTCTTCTTTCCAAGTATGAGGGTCACATTGTGGTGCTGATGCAGCTCCCATGTAAACAGCAGTAGGTGTATGACCGAGAGAACAAATCAGCAGAAAAGACCACATAAAACACAGGACCACCAGCTGCATCTCACAGGGGTCATGACATGCCTTTTTGTATTTTCATGATGACTTAATGCGTGTTATTTGGGATTTTTTCTTTGGAGGCCGAGATAGTTTTGATACCCCTATAACTTTTAGTTTGATTGTGGCCTCAGATATTCCAGCCATGTTTCGTGCCTGGCAGCGATATTCTCCCGCATCCTTGAACGATAAGCCATTCAAACTGATTATTGACCAACGAACTCCAACTCGAGGAGATTCTTGCAGAACTGAAACAAAGGTGGACAGTTTTAGTCATGAGCACCCAAAATCACGTTTTTAATTTACTCTAAATAGCCAATTTTTGGTAAATGGTTCTGCAGTGATAAGCTACGACTTAAAATAAACTGCAAAAAATAATGTTGAATCAAGATGAGCGACTCAGACCCATAGACACCAATACAAAATGCTCGCTAGTTTGTGTAGGGCTACATCTCATAATGCATTGTAATGTTATGTCATGGTCTTTTTTTCTGCAGCAGAATATGACATTGCATATGTTAAAAAAGGCATGGGACTGAACTGTAATGATTCCAATATTCACAGACTATGACAAGTCAGTGTTTAGGACAGATGTGTAACAACTTGAAGCATAGTTTCCAGTATACAATTTGGGTCCTGATGTATAAAGAGAAAAAAATCCTTGTGAATTTCAAGCGAGCCACCAGGAACCCCATGATCCCCAGTAGTACCAACACTACTCTGCTTAGATAAGACCAAGGTGTAATGTTTCCTCAGCTTCAAATATTCTAAAGTGTACATTATCCCCTCCTTTATTGTTCCTCAACCCTGGTCCTCAGGGCCCACTGTCCTACATGTTTTCCATGTTTCCCTTTCAAACATCAGTGTTCCCCTGCTGCCACACACCTAAGTAAATGAGTGATTAACTGGCATCTGCAGCAATTGATGTCCTCCTGAGGAGGCAATGCAGATATGTAAATCAAGTGCGCTTAACCAGAGACAGAAAACATGTAGGACAGTGGGTCGACCAGGGATGGAGAACACTGCCCTGCTTGACTATGACAGCTTCTTTCAACACCTAAATACAGAGGCCAGCAGCTCAAGGAGTAAAAGCCAAACCATCCTCTTCCAATCACCAGCTCATTTAATGGCACCACAAGGCATTACCTGACTGACTAAAGGAGATGTCTGAAACATCTCCCGTAGAAGCATTCTATCCTGCTTCTGGTTTACTCCGTTACACAGCCACTGAACTCCTCTGGCTTTGTTGGAATCTGCCAGCGTTCAACCCTCTGGTCTCTATTTACATTTATCTGGATACCTCTTCCTCCACGCTGATGCTATGTTCACCGAGGATCCCGCAGAACCTTTTTTTTCGACACATCCAAAACCATAAAATACTTCTGGTCCTCTACCCGCAATAACTACTGTAAATCTCACTGGACCATCGATCCTAGAGTGTTAGCCTGCCCGGCTAGGTCGGCTAGTGCAGCTGTCAAACCTGATAACTCCACCGTCAACTTTGGACTTCTCAACATCTGCTCACTTACACACAAGGGGGATCTCATCAAAGATTGTATCACTGACTCTAAGTTTGACTTTTTAATTCTGAATGAAACATGGCAGCAGCCAAACGATTCATCTAAACTAAATGATGCTGCTCCTCCCGGCTATGTTTATAATAATAATAATGCATTGAACTTATATAGCACTTTTCTAGACACCCAAAGACGCTTTCACACATGCTCACATTCACACACTGCTAGTGATGGTAAGCTACTTGTAGCCACAGCCTCCCTGGGGAGGTCTGACAGAGGCGAGGCTGCCATTTGGCGCCGTCGGCCCCTCTGACCACCACTAACACAGGCAAGTTGGGTGAAGTGTCTTGCCCAAGAACACAACAGCAGGATAGCCCTGGCGGGAGCTGGAATCGAACCCATGACCCTCCGATCATGAGGCAACCCGCTCTACCACCTGAGCTATTGCTGCCCCATGGCAACAGCCGAGGCGGAGGTCTAGCAACAATTCATCGCGAGAAGTGGCGAATTCTGCCTGACCACCCCCCAAGCTAAACAGTGACTTTATAAATGAGTTATCCTCATTATTCACCCAGATCTCTACTTTATCACAGAATGTTATTCTCTTGGGGGACTTCAATATACAGCTGATGAACCCCCTCTAACAGACCATTTTCTCTTGTCATTTAATGTCCCCCTCTGCCTATCTGCATTTCATACACCACGTCTCATTTCTTTTCTGAACCTTAAATCTATTGACATCATAGGCGTCATTTTAACCGGGGACGCCGGGGACATGTCCCCGGCAAAATTCGTGATTGGCAGCTGTGTCCCCCCCACTTTCAAAAAAGCCTGCTGATGAGGATTTTTGTTTTACCAGCTCAGATCTTATACCAGGGGTCGGCAACCTGTTCCCATCAAAGAGCCATTATTACCCATTTCCCACGGTAAAGAAAACACCGCAGTAGCCGCAGCGTTGTGGGCGGGGCCTACCCTCAGACAGCAGAGCGCTGCTCACAACCAGGTGACAGCAGCCGAGGGAATCGCACCCGTGGGGGATTTTTGCTCACCTCCATTCCAGTCTGGTTTCTTTACGTCGCACTCACTCTGTTTGCCTCATCTCCTTCTTCACCTCCCAGCCGATGTCAGGTTTCCAGGAGAGCAGGAGAGGGAGGGACGGAAGAGCTCGACTGAATTCATAATTTTACATCTTGACATTAGCTGTACAACGTCTGAGTTTGATAAAGTGAAGAACAACAATTTGCAGAGGTTTATAACTGGCGCGGCGCCAGGTTTTCATTTTTGGGTGGGCCACGGTAATTTTGGACGGACCTTAATAAGCAGTGACTTAAGTGAAGCAGGCAGGTCGCGCTAGAAAATTTAGTTTAAAAAGACGTCATAAATGTTTTCCCCTGTCATTTTTATTTCTAAAATATGAAGTAAAAACTCACAATTTAATTTTCATTCATTTGTCATTAATATTTAGTCTACAACCGTGCATTAAGTGGACCATCTTCCAGTAAACGCAAAGCATCCAGCCCATCTCTCCAAATGCGTAAAATGTGCATCAGCCGCTAGTTAGGCGTGCCGCGCGCACCATCAGCTGATCAGCCCAGACAAGAGCAGAGCAACTAGAGAAAGAATAGAGGATGATCGTGTCTGGATGTGGATGGAGATTACATTTTACAGCAGCCTGATCATCATTTAAATACGTAAACCATCACCTGTCTTCTAGTCCACGCTATCAGCATTATTTTAATTGGTGTGTGTGTGTGTGTGTGTGTGTGTGTGTGTGTGTGTGTGTGTGTTTTCCACTTCAAACACTGGTCTAACCAACCAGACCAGCGTGTCCAGTAACACATTAATGTTACAATTAAACTTGATTAACCCCAGAGCCGTGCGCACTGCACTGTACTGACTGTAAATGAGGGGAAATGATTTAATCGGATCCTTTTCTCTTCAACATGGTTTAATATAAAGTTTCATTCAGTACAAACTTTAGTTGCACCAATCTAACGAGACAGAGCCTGGATTTGTATTCTGAACAGTTTAAACATGTTTAAAACGGAGACATGCGTGACGCGTCTAAAATTCGCACCTGCTCCGCTATTACGGAAATTAAACTAACAAGATGAATAACATGAAATTATTTTAGGCACAGACAACATCCCCCACACTTTTGAAAAGCTTGCAACGCGCCTGGTCGCTCATGTACGTCTTAATTATCTTTCATTAGACGATAATCAATAAAACGATTTATATAAAATGGATCCAGAAGTTGTAGCCCGTCTCTGCCTTCAATTTTTGGTATTTTTCACCCTGTTGATGGTTTTACTGAGCAGGTACCACTTTTGTCATACGTTTCTTTTTAAAACATGTTTAGACTGTTCAGAATACAAATCCAGGCTCTGTCACGTTTGATTGTTGTAATTAAACTTTGTAGGTGGGGAAGGTCAGAAAGCAGCTCAGAAGCGCCGATATGATTACGCACAAGCGTGACGCGTCAACCCGGTCTCACAGTAAGACCGGGTTGGACCTGTTCAGGTTTACGCAGACAATCTTTACATTTAGAATTGGCATACAGATGTAAAATTAATGCAGTAAAATATAAAGCTTTTTATTTAAATATCCATTCATTATTTCACAAGCACAGAGAGCCGCATCAGATGGATGGAAGAGCCGCATGCGGTTCCAGAGCCGCCGACCCCTGTGCTAGACTACTTTATTGTCCCCAGCAATTTTTAAACCCCACTCAAGTGTATGGTTATTGTCCCCAGCAATTCTGACAACAAACTGATGCCCTTGATTGACATGGATACTTTCTGCACCAATTCTGATGACATAAAAATCCCAGATTACCTCTCCAGTCCTGATGAACTTGTTTTCTATTACAACAGTGCTCTGAATGACATCTTTAACTCTGTTGCTCCTCTTAAAACCTGGTTGAATTCCTTCTCAACAAGTCCACCCTGGTACACTGCTGAAATGCGTTCACTAAAATCCAAAGGTCACAAACTTGAATTTGTCTACAAAGAACTGGCCTGAGTGGATACAAAGAGATGTATCTGACCCATTTACGGAACTACAAAACTTCAATAGCCTCTGCCAAATCTCTGGAGGGATGTTTTTGTTTTTGTATAGCCGGTTGGTGTGTTGAGGAAAACTCCTGTTTGTTTAAATTTTGTTTAAGTTTTAGACATTTATATGTACATGTATAACTGTTTTTTGTACAGACATTCACACATAAATTCTTATGTTTATATTTTTTCTGACATTTTTTGTAAAATCTGCAACCTTAACCCTCTGGAGGCAGGCGTTGCAGATTTGCAAAGTTATAACCTACCTACCTGGTTACTCCACATACGTAATTCATGAGCATGTTTAACTCAGTAGTACCCCTGAAGGACTTAGTTGTTTGTCCTTTCATCAAAACTTATTTTGAGCCTGAGAGGGTTAATATCAGAAACAAATTTCTTAATCCCTGCTGCATTTTAAGCAATAGAACATGACTGACCTGAACCCTACAGCACATTTTAATTTATTTTATTTTGAATGTAAGTGTATCAAAAAAAATCAAACAGAAAATGTTAATCACATGTTTCTTAAAAAGTTTCATAATAGAATAAAAAAACAACTTACAACTCTCCAAAACCTGAGGTAGTCGTTCAGAGTTCTGCAGGATTTCTTGTTGACAACAATCTGTACAGAAAGATTACTTAACTGCATGATTTACTTTAGGATGAGTACCTGACAGTGACTTACTATCATAAGCTGAAGTTTTAATCCAGGTCAGGGTTGGTGTTGGGTACCCACTAGCATCACAGCGGAGGATCACATTGCTGCCCAGAGGAGAGATGACCCTGGTGGCTGTAGGCTGAACCGAAGGCCTCATACATCGAGGAAATTCAGCCTGCATCAGCAGCATCCCTGACTGACCCATAGATCTACTGCACATTATCAGCTGATCCATCAGAACAACTGGACTCCCCAGGGACATGGACAGTGATGCCACCATAGAGATCTGGCAGTCACACAACCAGGGATTGTCATGAAGACCTGTGAAGGACACAAAGGAAATCTATTCAGTCAGGGGTTGATCAAGCTCACAAACCAACAATTTTAATATAGTATTCACATTTTGGCCATTCCCACCTCCATGTGATGTGTACATACAGAAACAATGCACAGTTCCCGTAAACAAACTGTGAACAAGTTAAAGTAGTAGTAGATTTGTTTAATCAATACATTTGCAGTGGTGTCTAGTACGAATGAATGCCTTGTAAATCATTATACCAGAATACCATTCCTCAGACCTAAAATTTGCCCACATCACAGGTGATGTTTCAGATGGCAGGTTTTAAAGTCTTATTTCTGATATGTGTACATCTTGCCCCAGACTGAATAAAAGCAATGCGACTATACCATGGACTTACAATTTGGATGTTTTTTCTCCACAAATAATTTAAGCCTTAAGGATCTACTGCTGTGTGGTAACGTTGGTGTTGAGGGTCTGACCTCATGAGGAAATTACTATGCAGTGATTTTCTCCAAAATGACTGTGCTTAAATTGCTCTGAAAAGCAAATAATCACATCAGCGCCAAGAAACTTCATTTCCCATGATGCTTTGCACACGGAAGCATTGGGTGATGTTACCGCCTAGTACCAGAAACACGTTCTGCGCATGTGCGGGAAGCCGTGGAGCTTTTCCCGCGAACTAAGACCATAAATCTTCAGCAGAGACAAAGAAACCTTGTTCTTTTGCCCAGGATACCTGGCGGTAAGGACACGCTTGTCAACGCTCCGACTCCCTTGAGCACGCGGAAGCTCTAAGTGCCCAAGTTGAGCCCACGGAACTGCTGGAAACTAAACTGCAAGCCCATCAGATCTGCTCGTTTCTGCTCCCCTCCAGCTGATGTTTGAGGACACAGAACTGCGGAGGAAAGCAACAACTCCATCAAGCACGCTGTAAGTTATAACTCAGCACAGAAAGAAACTTTGCTGTCTCTGTCCAGCCCGTGGAGAAACACTCCTGAACGCCAAACAACGGAGAAAGCATCAAACCGACGGACGACGCCGAAAGCTGCGGAGAAACACGGAGAACCGTCAAATCAAAGAGGGAGGGACGCCTCGCTCTTCTGGTGATCAGCAACTCATCTCTTTCTCTCTCTCCTTCTTCTTCCGTTAACTCTATAGTCCAGAATAAGCAATAAAACCGCGCTATTGCTTAAAAAGTAGCTTCGTGTTTTCCTCTTTCGTCCCAAACACGTCCGTCGGGTCATTTTGAAAGAATAAACTGCTTATTGATCATTGTTTGGTATCTTAAAATGGTTTCTGTCATGGCCAGGCTGAAACTAAAAGATATTAATTTGTGATTAATCTTTTGTGTTGTTTCATGATCTTTTGAAATGTTTTGAGTGATTTAAGGTTAAGTTACTACTGATTCTAAGTGCTTTGGAAGTTAAAGTGCAAGTTGCCACCCACACTTTAGCCAGACAAAGGGGTCAGCCATCTTGTATTCAAGACTCCATTTTGAATCCATACACACGCACACACACACACACACACACACACACACACACACACTACTCCTTTGTGAGAACAAAGGACCCCATTCATACATCCTCCATCACATGCAAACACATCCATCTTCAATCATATCACACGGTTATTATTCATCTATTCCACTGTTTATTCATTTGACAAATTGTTAATTAAATGTTATAAAATTCAGATTTTTGTGTCCAGTAGCTTTGTTGTGTCGAAGAGAAGTCTCTGCTCCGAGGATTCTACGAACTTCAAAAAAGACTGATAAGAGTTTTGGATTCATTTCCCTTTCTAATTAAAGGGTGGTGCCCCGAAGATATCTAAGAATATCTTAATTAATTAATAAATCAGTAAATAGTTCCATATTTACAGAATTTATTGAAGAATCCAAAAGTAAGTTAAAGCTTACGAATTGTTCGCTCCTAATAACCCCAACATTTTATTGGTGCAGCCCGTGTGAGGCTTGGATACACAGAGATTTCTATCCGGCACAAACAAACAAATAAATCCAAAGAGCTTGAATTAAAAATAATCAGTTGTTCAGCCTTGAACCAGCAACAGAGTGGTGCTGATTTCGCTGAGCAGGAAGCTGCATCGAACTCTCACCAGTAACTCAGTGCTTCTTTAAAGGTGCAACGTGTAAATTAATTCTGGTTGACCTTTTAGGTTAAAAATTCAGTTTTTCCTTAAAGGTGCAACGTGTAATTAATTCTGGCTAACCTTTTAGGTTAAAATTCAGCTTTTCCTTAAAGGTGCAACGTGTAATTAATTCTGGCTAACCTTTTAGGTTAAAATTCAGCTTTTCCTTAAAGGTGCAACGTGTAATTAATTCTGGCTAACCTTTTAGGTTAAAATTCAGTTTTTCCTTAAAGGTGCAACGTGTAATTAATTCTGGCTAACCTTTTAGGTTAAAATTCAGTTCCTCATTAAAGGTGCAGCGTGTAAGTAATTCTGACTAACCCTTTTAGGCTAAAATTAACTGCTAATTCAGCGACTTTAACTCACAGTGGCTATTGTAACTAACTGAAACCTTCACTCAAAGACTGATAACACCCTGTTTGCTAATATTCTGAAGGAATAACTAGCATATTTAACACTGCAAGTGTTGTAAGACGTTGCTACGGCAACGCACCAGCTTTTGCTAAAATACTGAAAGGAATAGTATTTTAAGCGTCAGTCACGGCATTCCGTGCAATCTTAAAACGCTAAAACCTGTGCGCACAAAGGTTAATTTAGTGTTTTTCTGCTACAAAGCTAGCAGTTGCTGCCAAAGGTGCAGCCTTGAGCTATCTGCAGAAGCTCTACTAGGCTATTTTTGGTTCGGTTGTTAAAAATGGAGGGACAGAGTAGTGAACTGACCAACTCCCAGCAACCAGGTGGCGCTGCGGCCCACGACTATGAACCTGGCCTACTTTCTGGACAAATATTGTCCAAACTGGTCGCGGTTGCTCGAGAACCCGACTACCCTTCTAGGGATTTCACTGAAGAACAGCGTAGCGTCGAGCTAGAAGCTGTAATCGATCAAATAGAAAACCCGGATGGTACAAAACCAATCCAGGTTCACTTAGCTAAGTTAGCCCTGATCCTCTATCAGAGAGGACTCCAACGTGGTCAGAAGATCATGAACCTCCAGAGTATGCTAGCTGAAAAACAGCGAAATGGAAGGCTGATCGAGGAAGACGACACCCGCACCGATTCTGGGGAAGATGGGGAGGAGACCCCGCCCCCCTCTGCTGATGACAACAGACAGTGGGAAGGGGGGAAACACCATGACTCTCTGGACGGACGCACGCCGCAGGGGAGAGATGAAGCTCATCTGTCCCAACCTTCGGCCCCGTTCCCTACACACACTATAGGGCATTCAGGACCACCTAGGGGCCGAGGGCAGTTCGCCAACCCTAACCCTAACCCCAGGTTGGACCACCACCCTCATCTTCACGGCCTTCTCAATCAGTGAGAAGTCGACCAGCTGAGCGGCACCTCTATTTAGACCGCTCCCCCAGTCCACGAAGGGTGCAAGGTGCCGATTGGGGTTATGCACCCCAACCTGCACCTCAACCATCCACCCATCCTAGCTACTCCGGTATTTGGCATGCCAGCAACCAGCTGCAGGACAAAGCATCATACGCCAGTCCGTATCCGGACAGAGCGTATTACGCAGAAGCCCCAGTTGAAAGACGCAGGCTGCACTACGCAGACGTGCCCCGGGAGGAGGACCTCCCAGGACACCCACGTGACGTGCCAGCAGCCCGCCACAGCATGCCGAACCCCGATTTGGGCCCCAGGAGTCAACAGTGGGAGCCCAGAGCACACCAGCGATATCCAGCACCCTCTGAGACAGACCGTGGGTCAGAGTCAGAGGATGATGCGCCGTACCGTGAGTCAGGGCTCCGTGTACGTCAAATTGAATCGCTAGCTTAAGATATAGAACGCTTTGATCCTAACACCAATGAATCCAATGTCGACGATTATCTCAGGGAGATAGAACGTTGTCTGCTTGATCTTCCAGCACCCTCTTCAAGGGAAAAGCTCAAGCTAATTTGGAAAACCACATCTAGAACGGTGCATGGTTTCATGGAAACTCTACCACCTGACATTCGAGATCGGTACTCCTCGCTCTGCCGAGCGTTGAGGGATGAATACGCCACGTATGCAGACTCCGCGTCAGCTACAGTGGGGGCCTTCTCCATCAAACACGGGAGAAACGAACCCCCCAGAGAGTATTATCGCCGACTCAAAAGTGCTTATTTCCAAGGTCGAAACGGCCCTGGGCTCGAGGAAGACCCTGCCTTCAGATCCCTGTTCATTCACAACCTGCACGAGTGTGTTCGATCCGAAGTCTCAATGTATTGTCGGATGAAAAAACTGACAACTCAGGAGATTAGGAGATACGCTCAACAGGCTTGGGAAGCCGGCGGAAAGCCCCAAAAGCCTGACGCACATCACCGCGTCATGCACCTAGCTCCCGACGCTGAGCCGCGTTTGGAGCTCGAAGGCACAGAAGCTCCACCCACTAAGCCAAAATCTGCTAAACCTAGACCTGTTAAACCGCGAGAGCAGTCCCAATCTCCTCAACAGGGGAAGGGGGGTGCTGATTGGCCGCCTAGGTCTGGACAATCAGACAGGAAGTGGCCCAACCAAAACCAACGGCAGGCAGGTCGGAACAGTGGAAGGTTTAAGGAGCGCCGCCCACAGGTAGGTCCCGAACACAAGTCCGCAGGTGAGTACTTGACCAAAGCCGACCTCCAGGAGATGTTTCAGCAGTTCCTAGCTAAACAGAAGGAACAGCTGAGATCTGCAGATGAGACCCCTGCACCAAAGTCTTCTTCTAAGAAGCCAGACCCAGAGCCAACGTCCGCATGACTAGGCGTGGCTCAACCCCCCAGCGTGGCCAGGACCTACCTGATCAGCTGGGGGAACACTACTGGTAGATCACAGGAGTCTCCTGAAATCTACCCCCCAGAGAAACCTGATACTAAATTTCTGAAGTTCCTTGGTGACTTAACAAACC